TTTTTTCTATTTCGTAGGAAGCGGGGTCGTGCAATGAAGGGGGGAGGGGGGAGAGTTAGGTAAGAAATAAGGTTTTCCTAACTAATCATAATATGATGGAGTAGGTAAAAGGTAGAGACTTAAGTAATGAAATAGGCGAGTCTGTTGTATGAATGTAAAGGTTAACGCTAAAGTAGGCTGCTATTTTAATAATATATTTGTTTTTAATCATCTAATCCACTGCAAGAATAACATATTTAGTTAAAAGTTTCTGACCCAAATTTCGTTGCACCAATATTCTATTGTGGTAGGAGGGCGAGGGGTCCTAAAAAGTCATTTTGGGATAGTCTATACAATTTTATAAAACGGTATATAACGGGTCGAGTAGTAGAGCGCTTGACTACTTATCCCGAAAGTCTTGAGCTCGAGTCTGTCCACCTTGTTCTAAAGGGTACCTGGCTTTATCGAGTCGGTTGGACATAGTACTGACCACACCATTAATAATAATACAGTTGGATGTAGCATTGTTTTTTTTTTCTATTTCTAGTGCATTTGCTTAAAAGACTATTTAACTTTAACTATTCATTAATGGGACTGGCAAAAAAAAAAAAAAAAACATTTTTCTTCTGTATTTTCGGCAATGTTTTGCCTAGGTACCAACCCCCCTAAATGGTGTCACCCGGTGCGGTCCGCACCCCCCCCCCCAACCCAATCCGCCCTCGCTACACCCCTGGATTAAGAAACGTCATACGGGCTTGAACCCAGGATCCGAACTTGAGACTTTCGGGTTAACATATGTGTTCTCTAAACTGATAGTAGTACGGGTTGATAACTTTCACTATCTGCATAGATCAGGGTTCCCAACTCCGTGCCCGCGGGCGCCATGGCGCCCGCCGAACGATTCGTATGTGCCCGCCTCTCACTATTCGACAGAGACAGATTTTTTTTCATAAACATTATTGAAAGCTTGAAGGGGATGGAAATCGAAAGTTTGAGGGGGGGGGGGGGTGCAAATCGAAAATTTGAGAGGGGGAGGGGTGCAAATCGAAAATTTGAGGGGGGGGGGGGGTGCAAATCGAAAGTTTGAGGGGGGGGGGGGCGTGCAAATCGAAAGTTTTGTCCCCAGGTGACGGGAAGGGTCGCTACGCCTCCGGAAGGAGTTTGTCGATTTAAAATAGGTGGTGCCCGCCACCCTACCGATATTTTAGAATGTGCTCTAGAGTAAAAAAAGGTTGGGAACCCCTGGCATAGATTATTTATGAACGGTTCTTCTCAATTTCACGATTATACAATGCATTTGTTTAGTCACCACGATTGTGGTATAGTTCGTTTAATCAGGGGGGGGGGGGGGTCGGGGGGGGGGGGGTGCAGGGGGGTGACACCAAGGCAAAAAATAGCAAAATATATAGAGAAAAACTTGAGGGGGGGGGGGTGCAAATCGAAAATTTGAAAGTTTGTCCCCGGAAAGGGTCGCTACGCCTCTGGGGAGGGGGGGGGGTGACACTATTAAGCGCCACACCGGGTGACACCCGACCTCGCTACGCCACTGCGTTAAGTTACTACCTATGTGATATAGTGTAGTTGCTACCTATGTGATATAGTTCAAAAATATTGTTTCAAGTCCTGTACATTATTTTCTATTTATTAAACACTCCTTTAAGTTTCTCAAGTGACAACAAGAAAGACATCCATAGAATATATAATCTTTATTCACTTGCAGACAGCTGCGATGCAGGTACTAGACTGAATGATTAACACAAACATTAGCCTGCTATGTCACCGGATATAGTAGAAAAATCGACATTTAATTTTTATAAAACAAAACAAATAATATACAAAGACTATGTACCATTAAAACAAATGGGTTTATAAAAACAAACGAAGGACAATCGTTAACAAACAGGTTAGTTAAATACTAATAGGTAGACTAATATTCATGTCATTATGAATTAGATATCTCTTAGACTAGCGGAATGAGATTTCCAGCCCATGTCGAACCCATAGATTGAGCACTAACAACAAGAGTTAGAAATTATAAGATAGTGTTACATATCAAAGCTCAATACCAAATTACCATACATAGGCCTACCTCTTATATTACAATTTAACTAAAATGATAAACCATCCACGCTACCCTCGTTTTATTGAATTTCCAGCGGCTGGGGGGGGGGGGGGGGGGGCGGGGGGGACTTATAAGAATGTTTCTTTATCTATTTCGTCTCTGGAGTGTCTCCTAAAAGATCTATGAAAAACTGCTCTCAAGGCCATATAACACACAAAGGTATAACATCACACCACTCATTCGTGTAATACAGTGCTTAATATATGCACAATCTATTACACAACATCACGTTTCTCAATAAATTTCAACAGTCATTTCTGGAATTATTTAAGAGACAGGTGTTAAAAAAATATTTAAATAAAATGTCATGTATATTTTATTTTCCTCTTTCTTCTCTCCATTCATGACCTTCCCCCCTCCCCCTCCCTCAACACATTACACTCTTACACACACTCTCTTCTCATGTTATAAAAAATGTTACAGTATTTGTTATCTATACAATTTTCTCCTCCGCCTCCGTATTGGACACCAGTATCACAACCTCTTTCTCAACTTTTGATTGTCTCCGCTTCTGAATCCACATTAAAATATTACTCAACACCATTAGCAGACCTGAGCCAAACATGCAGGCGCCGCCCATGTAGAAGGCGCTATCAAACGACCCCAGTGAATCTCTCAACGCCCCTGTCGAAGATAAAAAGGACATGATATAACCAGATATAAAAATAACATGATGTAACTTGTATGAAAAAAATAAGTCAACCTGTTCAAATATTCGGATAAGTTTGAATAGATTGTGCAAGAGAAAATAAGTGCAAGGCTTTGTTATCACGTACCATAGCCTATTTCGTTTTGGACAAAGTAGGTTTGTGTTTTCAATGAGCAGGCTATTTTTAAACTTAACATGGCGTATGTTTCTTTGTTACTGTGTGAAATTACTATCAAGATCAATACGCACACATTGATTTTACTTTATTATACATTATTACACTGTATTTATTTGGTATCGCGTATACAGTATACAGCACGAAAACCCTACCCTCGTCTCAAATAATATAACTTAATATTTCCACGACTTATTATACTTGGGGAAAGGTGGGTATAGTGGGTATCGCAATGTTCGCATTCATTACACCAGTACAACCGTACCTAACCTAATCGTAGGAAAATGCAGGGTACACGGCGCTATCAAGCCAGCGAATAAGAATTGAATGGCGGAGATAAAACAGTGAAATCAATGTTAAAAGAAAATCACAATAGACCTAGGGCAGTTTGTGTGTGCTTTTTTCACGTTTCTTTGTAAAGACAAGTCAGTGTCCTACTTGTAGAAATGTGCAGCAGAGAGTAGATGTTTCTGGGATGCTAACTAAAACCATTCTATATCATTCTCAATCTGTTTAAGGTTTGCTGCATTTTGACGATTAAAAGCTTGAAGCAGAAATATAGTAATCTAATCAAATTTTAAGTCTTGGAGGATGCTTTAAAATATACATGAATTTAATGTAGTGTGAGGTGGACCGCTAGGAAACGGATAATAATATTAAAAAAGAAATGGAAGTCAGATATGGTCACCTCAAATTTTTCCCCATTAGGCAACTTGAACACTTCACCCCAACCCACTCTAAGAATGAATGTATTCTAGAATAACTATTAATGCATTTTAAATTGCATGCGAGATAGACCTAGTAGTAACCTATATATATATATATATATATATATATATATATATATATATATATATATATATATATATATATATATATATGTGTGTGTGTGTGTGTGTGTGTGTGTGTGTGTGTGTGTGCTTCCAGTGAAGTTAAAAAATTTGTATTTTACCTGCAAAAGGTGGACCTATAAGACTCCCTATTCCCTGAAAAACTTTGCTGATTCCCAGAGAACTTGGCATGACTTCTCTCCCCAGAATGTCTATGAGTACCACCATCTTCTGGGAAATGAAGGCCCCGGTCATGAACCCGTAGGCCGAGCTGACCACACAGTACGTGGCCAGACTGTTCAGAGACGGCACCAGGAGAGACGCTCCGGAGATGAAGAACAGCAGGGAGGTGAAGACGTAGGGTCGGAGCGGTCGGCACACTTTGATGTCCATGACGAAACCTTTAGGGGAGAAAATAAAAGTTGTAGATGTTGTTTTTTGCTAAAATAAAATAATAATGAACTACTGTGATTCTAGATTGTGGCGTCGCTAGGTGGGGGGCGTAACCCGAGAAAATAACTGAGGATGTCACCCCACCCCCTCTAATAAAATTGTAATTTTTTTGGTAAGGTGTCACCTCACTCCCATCCTATTTTATCATATTAATTAATTGGATAAATCACTCTCTTGATAATACTTTTAAGGTTGTTTTTTTTATTTTGCGTCACCTTCTAAGTCATATGACTTGGTATAAACCGCAACCCCCGCCCTCGCTCCGTGACGGCACTGATTGTAGATAGAACCCATTTTTTGGAAATTTACAATTAGAATTAGAAATTTTAGAATATGAGTGACAGTTTAATTGCATAAGGTACTAGACTGGAACCCACAGGGGAAAAGTGAGTAGGCAGACCAAGAAAATCCTGGAGGAGGGCTACAGAAAGTGAAGCAAATGAAAGGTGATTTACATGGGCCCCACTCAATACAGAAACGTATGTTTTGTAGTATTTTACTCTAAAATGCACATATTATATAGACATGTTAAGATATGGATATATTTAGGGAAATAATGACTCTGATATTCATGACAATTAAGAAAGAAGAATTGTTATGTTATAAAAACTGCTAATCTCATATAATTAAGTGACCCATTGTCCAACTAGAAATAATTTCAAATTTCATAAAAACTCATACATTATTAAACTGACATTTTCATAGCAGTATTACTGTTATTGGGGGGGGGGGGGTCTCTTGCCCTGTATTTATGCCACCTGTGAGCATCGCAAAGAGGAAATACTACATTAATACACCAAGCACCTCACTTCCATATCTTAGCTTAGAATCCAAGTGAATTATTCCTTTTTTTTCAAAACGATTAGAGAAAATAGTGTCCTCACCAAAAGCCATTCTCCCGAATGTGTCCAACGCCCCTGAAACAGTCAACACCAAAGCTGCCTCGCGTTTGGAGAGTCCTTTCGATATGGCCATCGCCGGGAGAAAGGTGAAGGCCGTCTTGAAGGCGATCAGAAAAAACATGTTGCTGAGACAAAAGATCAGGAAGGGGACGTTTTTCAGCAGGTGCCAGTGAAACGCTTCCGGTTTCTTGGCGTCACCTTTCCGCTGGTACTCCACGGGGAAAATTATCGCCAGAGAAGACTGCAGGCAGTTTTGTTTCTTGCGCGGTCTGCGCAGATCAGGAAGTGATGCGGAGATGTCGACAGACGAGCGACTGACTTTACCAGGCTCAATAGTGTCTTCTATGACCAGTTCCGTTTTGTTATCAGTTTTTTGATCGGTGCTCCTGTCCACTGAGTTTTGTGGAGTGAATTTTCGCTGGCGAGAATCGCTGTTGGATGATCTATTTTTAGGTGTGGCTGTCAGTTTGACGCATTCTTCTTTATTGGCTAGCCTCTCTTTTCTTAATCTGAAGGTAAAAAATTAATTTAAAATAAAAAAAGAATATTAATAATACTGAGAACTAAAACGGTTATGTTGGAAAGGAATAGCATTAAATTGGCAAATAAAAGATGTATAAAAACATTAAAATCCACTGAAATAAGAACAATAAACAGACATTCTTTAGATATAAAAGGAAATTCGCTAGTTTCTAAAATGAGCTTGGGATTTTTAAAGCAACTAAGCTTGTACTGTTTAATCTGAAAATAAAATTTGTTTTGTGTTTTAATTATTTTTATTATGGCTCCATAGTTTAGACCATTGAATAATAGCGCATTGGAAATCCAAGCACAAAGCCTAGGGCCTAAGTTGAGAAGAGCCAGATGTTGTCCATGTATCAGCCCCCCCCCCCCCCCCCCCACACAGCTGGTGGACCCAAGTGACAGGACATTACCTGTACAGCTTAGAGTCAGCAGTGTCGCAGGAGCTGCCGAAATGAAAACACTTGGTAACCCTACCGCCCAAAGGGCTCAACTCCTTTTTGATTTCTGAGTTTTCTCTCGTAGATGGGTTGCTGTCCCATAGCTGTTGAGACTCATCTGCCTTCGAGACTTTCGGCTTAGCAATTATGTGCTTATCCGCAGCACCACTCCAACCCTAATTAATTTTAATGCATATTTAGAATACATGACTTTATACGGGGGTCAGTCGCCCACGAACACTTTGGTACAAATGAGACTTACTTGTCAGCCCGAAGAAATCTCAAATGCATGCTGAGGGGACGAAGTAACATTGCGGTGACTATCCCATTCAATTCTATGGCGCCTATTATCAGATAAGCACCCTGTGTTTAATAATAAATGTTGGCTATATTAACAAAATTACATATATGCCTATATATATATATATATATATATATATATATATATATATATATATATATATATATATATATATATATATATATATATATATATAGGATACATTTACAAAACTACACATATAGCCTATATATATATATATATATATATATATATATATATATATATATATATATATATATATATACACTTTTATTATCGTAATTGCTTATTTGTGTAGGGAATTGCTTTATCAACTGATTTTGTAATCTACTTAATCTATAACTTCCTTGCATACATCCTATCCCAGTCTTACCGTAAAGCCATATACCTCAAACAAGATGGTGACTAGTGGAACGATGGCGAAAGACCCAAACCCCACCCCCGACATGGACAAACCATTGGCGACGCTCCTGTGTTTGTCGAAGTACAGGTTGATGAGCAGCACCGCGCACATGAGCCCGCGGCCAAGACCTGCATGAAAATCAAATGAAAATAAAAATAAATTGGTGACAAGTTATTTTACAATCAGAAATATCTCTTAACTATTAGACGGGGGCTTTGTTTACTACACACGATTATGACAATTAAGATGTATTATAATCCCACTATATTCATAAATATATTATGGCACTCTCCTATTACCCCAAAAGGCTCTCTTGTGTGAAGGTTACTTATATCAAGTGCCGCACTGAACAACTTCCCCAAGTCAAATTAAGGGAATTAATCCACAAAGAGTTACTTCGCGTATTTGCTTCTAATTAATGCCCATAAAAAGCATTGTTTTATTTTAGTCACAACTGTGGGTTGTTATTAAATTTCGTTAACTAAAAATTTACATTTTTTATTTCCGTAAAAAGTTTACATTGTGCTTATTATACTTCAGCTTTGACTGCTAACTCGAACGTCTCGAGTCTGGATCCTGGGTTCAAGCCTGTGCGACGCCCCTGAGTCCACCCAGCTTTGAAGGGTTACAGACTCACGAGAGGCGGCTGGAAACAGGTTATTAATACAGATAAACTCTACTTCATCTGTCCCTTGTGTCTTGTGTACGAACGGGAAAAGAAGGAAATAAATTAGATTTCAATCAATCATGCCACAGACCACAACACAGCGGTATTATTTTACACGATTTAATATTATTCACATTTCAACTAATACTGAACTCACCTCCCAAAAGGGCTGAGGAGAAAAATAAAAAGTAAACATTGGGGGCGAACCCGTTGAGGATATAGCTAGTTGAAGATAGCAGGATGGCAAGGATTAGAGCAGTTCTCACACTGTAGCGATTGACAAACGCCCCACACAACGGGCCTGTAGGAAATTGTATTATAGGTTAGTGGTTCCATATAACTGGAAACATGGACTGGATCAAATATAAATCGTTTCTTGTTACGGTTGAAAACGTGGGTGATTTTCACAATCAAAATAGTTTTAGTGAACAAACTTTTTTTTTTTTAGATTTTTCCATAGTTTCAAGAATTTCTGATGTTGACACAATTCTAAACACTATTTACAATACTGTATGTGTTTGTATGCACGGAATTTTTCAATACTTCAAACAACTAACTGAGTAATTAAGTTAAAAATAATCAAATTAAAGTTGAAACTAATTGTTTGATAATATACCATTCAAACAACTCCAATGGACCGACAATAGAAATATCATTACGAGATATACAACGTGGATGTCATGTGGTTGTCACGTGGTTGTCACGTGGTGCATTACGTGGTTGTCACGTTGTAGTCACATATTGTATTACGTCAAGTTTAAGACGGTACTCACCCATGAAGAAATTAACTGTTGACATGAGCGAGCTTGGCCAGGCCGTCAGTTGTGCGCTGGAGTGGAATCGTTCCTGGTACTGGAGGAAGAACAGGCCTTCACTGCGTGCAAACCCACCTGTAGATAGATGTAATTAGTGAGTCTAAGAACAGGCCTTCACTGCGTGCAAACCCACCTGTAGATAGATGTAATTAGTGAGTCTAAGAACAGGCCTTCACTGCGTGCAAACCCACCTGTAGATAGAGGTAATTAGTGAGTCTAAGAACAGGCCTTCACTGCGTGCAAACCCACCTGTAGATAGAGATAATTAGTGAGTCTAAGAACAGGCCTTCACTGCGTGCAAACCCACCTTTAGATAGAGATAATTAGTGAGTCTACTTGAAAACATAGTTAACACAAACCCACCTGTAGATAGAGGTAATTAGTGAGTCTATTTGACAACATATAATGAACACAAACCCACAAGTAGATACAGGCAATTAGTGAGTCTAAGAAAAGATATAATTAACATAAACCCACCTCATATAGAAGGGGACGAAGTGGTAGAGAGCTGGACTGCTAAACCGTAAGTCTCGAAATCGAATCCGGGTTCAAGTCAGTAGACCGTCCCTAAGTCCACCCAACTCTGATGGGTACCTAACTCACGTTAGGGAAAGTAAAGGCGGCTGGGCATAGTGCTGACCACACTATCTCTGTATATGCCGAGGTAACAGAAACAATTGAACTCTACTTCACTTGCCCTATAGACCGTCAGGTTTGAAAGGGAACTTAACTTTACTTTTTTACCTCATATAGAGGTAATTAGAGAGTCTTTTTCATATAATTAACACGAATGGACCTGAAGATAGACATAATTAAAGCCCATTTTTTAAAAAAAGATATGTATTTAAAACAAACCTATCTGAAAATAGACATAATTTAAAACAAACACTCCTAAAGATACAGTTATTTATTTTAAGCACACAATTAATAATTAAATTATGCAAATAACTAGACAGTTTATGTTTAAATTGATATGAAACAAAAACATAAGAAGGGGTGGGGGGGGGGTATAGGACCTACCTCTTTATTTATATGCTTAGCTCATTGTATGAGTCGACATATCATTCTTTGCATACTACTAAACAGACAATTACAAATTGCTGAGATAACGTAAAACCAAATATGTAAAAAAAAAACATATTTGACGGAATGCGCTTCACCAGCACATACTTGATGAATCTTACACACTATGAGGTAATGTGGCTTAGAAGTAGTCCATACATGACGCCACCTTTACGACATTTTAACCTACGAATCTCCACCCCGAAGTTGCGACTTACGTTTTTGAAAGAAATAGTCTCTTGGTAAAATTATATGTTCTAGGTCATGGTTAAGTAAAAGCCTATTTAAAAAAAAAATCCGAAGTATCTGTAAAAATTCAGTTTAAATGTCACCCCCCCCCCCCTTTTTTTTTCCAAGAGTGTGACGTCATTAAATGGACGGCCCCTTTCCCCAAGCCTATGAAGTATGGTCCCTTAAATACTAAAACATGGCGAAGGCAGTTGTCAAATGGGACCCCCCCCAAGCATATAGAGTAAGGTCCCTTACCTACTACAACATGATTAAGAAAGCTGGCAACAACCCCCCCCACCCCCACCCCCACCAAGCATATAGAGTTAGGGTAAGATCCCTTACCTACTAAGACGTGATGAAGGAAGCTGGCAAACACGACCACCCATCCATATCCTCCATCCGGCGCCTTCATCAAGTTACTCTCCTCCTCGTTACCATCCTCTTCCTCCTCTTCATCGCCCTTCTCGTTATCCTTGTGTTGACCCACGTCACCGTTTTCATCTACTCCCTCATCGAGAACAAAGATTAACAGTTAATTAAAGTTCCTTTGATCTCCTGTATAAATAAACTCATGACTTATAAACTTCCTGTATTTCAAAATAAAAATCACCGGTAAGGCATTAGTACAATATCCAATACAGTTTATTTTTTATTTGTTAATGTTAGATTTATTATATCAGGTAAAGGATTAGGACCAAAGTTAAATTTATGCTTAAACATATTGCATATTAGGATCAGGGTTATGGGTAAATTTAACATCAGGGTCAAGTTAAGATATTTATAACACCTAGCACAATAGCCTCGAAAGGATCTTGTCATTAGTAAATGGTAAAGATCCCCTCCCCCCTCCCTCTTTACATCGATCAGCTGTCTTTACCATGCACAGATAACAAAATCTGACGAAATGGTATGTCAACAACTACTTCTCTCTCTCTATCTCCCCCTCTCTCTCTCTCTCTCTCTTTCTCTCTCTCCTCAGATAATGTGCACCAACAATCTACAAGTCACGTGGTCACATTTACAGGTTATCAACCGAGTACGTTCGTACGAAGTCAGGTCGAACCTACCCCCTTCCCCCCCCCCCCCCTTCATTCAAACTAATTACTAGCTGATATAGAGGGGAAAACATTTATCACTAAAACTAGTATGAATTCAATAAGTTATTAGGAATTTGGACTATTAAGTGCATCTCTATGTGATATTAGGGATGTAAAAGAAAAGTAAGGTTCCCTTTTTTGAACTTGACGGTCCATGGAGTGAAGTAGAGTTCACTTGTTTTTGTGACCTCGGCATATGAAAGGATAGTGGGATCAGCCTATTTGGGTACCTATTCGGGTACCTATGGTGCTGAATATCATTATTCGGGTACCTATTTGGTATTCTATAGTATTGATTTGACCCTCCTAATTATTTTTTCTGTCTAATGAGCCAGCTACGACTAGACTACAACAGACAAAATGTTCAAGTAAACGTTATAGTATGTAGCATAAGAAAACACTTAAAGATATCGTTACACTTTGATAAAACGCTTATATTGAATCTCTTTAAGCTGTGCATTGATAAAGGCAATTCAGTGACAATGAATTACATTACTACGTATTTAGTTTACGATAAACGATACAACGTATATCTTTTTCTCTCTCCTTTTTTATGTGTTTTTTTAAATAAATGTATGATTGTATTTCTAGTTACCACCTGACCCCTTTTGGAGATCTTTAACACCTGTAGTCCCCTTATCAAAATCACACATACACAAACACACACAAACACACATATATATATATATATATATATATATATATATATATATATATATATATATATATATATATATATATACATACTGTTACACTAATAGTAACAACTGCCCACATCATCATAGTTGAGTAATTTGAACATTTGAACTTGACTATCAACAAACCTTTAATAAAACTAACAAAGCAGTTTAATTAACGTTATGTTATTAGACTGCATTATAATCTCTCAAAATGGTACTTTATTATTTAACTAGATAAATAATATAAGTCAAAGTACTAAGTATAGTCTTATTTAACATTTGATCTTACAATATTAATCTGTTCGACATTTTTAACTTAATCGTATGATTAACCCAAATGTCATTATTATGTATTGCAGCATAAATCAGTAGTATTAACTTGGATTAGTGTGATCTATTTTAAACATACAGATTACATACTAATTGTTATTATTTCACGTACAAATTAAGTTCTAAATTGAATATACAAGTACCGTTTAGTATCGATATAAAAATTACCTAATAATTTAAATATGAACGTTTCTTTCTCTATTTAAATATATAACTTACCTTCGCTTCTGAAGAATCGATTATAACATAGGAATCGTTGTCTTTGATTCCTCTAACAGAATCGTTAGCAATGTCTGGATCTTTAGTGGCAGACTGTACATTCGACACCATCGTTAGGGTTGAGTGGTCTTAAGTTCGTCTGCCAGTTTGTGTGGATGTGTGACCCATGTGTCGTCTGCTGCACGCTGCACTTTTTGATGTGACGAAGTAGGGACGGTTTGTAAACAACGGCGACAAGGCGTGACCTATTTTTTTTCAAGAACGTCCTGCCATGACGCAAGCAGTTTTCTGTATGTCGTAGGGCCTATGTCAGGATTTTTTGACCCATATGTATATGAATATATATATATGTATATATATATATATATATATATATATATATATATATATATATATATATATATATATATATATATATATATCTCTATATATATAGCTTAAATTTAGATTTTATATAACCTATATATATATATATATATATGTATATATATATATATATATATATATATATATATATATATATATATATATATATACATGTATATTATATATGCCTATATATATGCATATTATATATATATATATATATATATATAATATATATATATATATATATATATATATATATATATATATATATATATATATATATATATATATATATATATACAAACACATAGAGAAAGAGAGTGATAGACGATACACATATTGATAGGCTTGATATGTATATGTATATGTATTGTACTTACCTATATTGTATAATATATGTAAGTATTTTTAATTAATATAAATATATAGTTAATATAAATCGGTTATAAATTATAATAAATACACTTCGAGACAGCTGGCATAGCACGGTTTATGAGCTGGCCGTTTTAAATCCCCCCATCTCTCTCTCTGTTCCCCCCCCCCCCCCCCCATTCCTGCGTACGGCACGGATAATAATAAATACACGTGTCAATTGGTGACTAATTTTGTAAATTTTATTTTTCTCTTAAAAGTACTCTCTAACCCATTTCGTTGTCATGTTATGGGTCATCCATAAACGACGTTACGCATTTTCATGATAGTTTTACCTCCTCCTTTCTTTATTTGTCTTCCCTAAAACGACTTCACACTTTAAATTGATGCTATTTTTTTACTTGATTTTTTTTTTACTATAAATCGATTTTTTTTTAAAAAACAAAGTTTTTTCTAAAATATCACAGCTCGGTCAAGAGAAATTATTTTAAACAATTTCTTTTACAATTTATTAAAACGGTTGTCTAAAACGCGAAATTACCGCTAAAATTTTAGCTTTCCAGGATTACTTTTTTAAAATACAAAAATGTGACGTCACACTACCTGAACACCACCCCCCCCCCCGCCCCAACTCAACACAAATCGTCACACATATACAGAAACGATTGTGACGTCATTTATGGACGACCCCTTAGGATCTAGGTAAAAGCTAGTAAATACGTTTGGATTATAATTGAGGTCAAGACCTAGATAAGACTACCCCTTAGACCCTCAGGTTTAAAAAGATAACTAAGACTTGTTTAGGACAGTCTACTGTGGGATTTTTTTTTTTTTTTTGTCGTTTATTGTTGTTGAAAAATTGAACTCTTTGGTAGAATCCTAATTCGTGTCTTCGTTTTAATATAATACTTAATGATTGTATAGTTAACTTAGAAAAAACCTTATAGTTATGGTTACTATAAACATTGTGTCAGTATATAGGAGAGAGGTTTGTAGCTTCACTTGACTTTAAGCGATACGTAAAAAAGTAATCATAACGACTGACCTATTAAAAATCAAGCAGAGACTAGATTTAAAACAAAGGGAGAATTATGTAGATCTAGATCTAAAACCAAAGGAAAATTATGTAGATCTAGATCTAAAACCAAGGGAAAATTATGTAGATCTAGATCTAAAACCAAGGGAAAATTATGTAGATCTAGATCTAAAACCAAGGGAAAATTATGTAGATCTAGATCTAGAATACAACGAGATACCTCAGTTTAAAAAAAAATGAGATAAATTTTAATCAGAGACTGTCAATATCTTGTTTATGCGTGACCTATATATGTATTGAAAACTTGGTAAACAAAAAATATTCCACCTGAGTTCGTATTACAATGGTCTACACATCAAGATGTGTGTTCAGCTATAAGAGATTAAAAGGAAGGTAAAAGACAGGATATATAGGTGTCCACAGGTGAAGATTTAAACGTGTGTAAAGGTAAGGATTAAGATGTGCGCTCTAATTAGACTTAAGGAGGTGTCTATAAGCCGTATTAACAGACGGGTGAGCAGTTTGTGGTAAGTACATGTAAAGATTTGAACGGTGAGTACAAAGTGGATCTTCTTCTTCTTGAGAATATGGTGGAGGATTTAGACAACAAGTCCAACTTCGTGAATAAACGGGGCTGTGGTCTCCAGATCAGCAGGTGCCCGAAATAATTTTTCCCTGAGTGGGGTGAGCAGGGGCCAGTGTTTGGCTCGCGCATGGCTATATAAAGAACATTCCTGATGGACGTGCTCCGTATTCTCCGGGGCCTTGCCACAAGGGCAAGTTTCGCCGCACCAATTTTTTAGTTTTTTAGGCATGTGCTGTTTTAGTATGTTGTGGCCTGTTCTGAGTCTAAAGATTATGCATTGTTGGGTTCGTGTCAAATTGTAATATCCATCGTCTTTTTTGTATTGATGGTGTGTGTCAGACCACATTTGTGTTTGTTTGTTTTTTTATTATTCTTTTGATTTCGTTTGGATGTAGCGAGATTCCTGGTTGTTTTTTCTTTCAAAGTGGATAATTGATATTACTTAAATTAATTTAGAAAAAAAAATTAATAAGAAAATAAAACTTGGTGGGAAAAAAATAATTTTTAGTTTGAAGTAATATTTCTGTTTTCAACTGGAACTTTAAATCATGACTTAATAGAAAGAGTAGCCTAATTATCAAAATAAAGAGCACATTAATTATGACATAAAACTAACAGTGAGATTAACTTATGGCAAAGGGAACGCAATAAAACAAATGGCGAACTAATGAATACCACAGGATATGGAGAATAGAAAACATTTTCAATATTAATTTGATGGTGTGGAACCAGTATGTAGTCTTTGCATTACTTTGCTTTTTGGAATAACTGTATCTTTGACAGACATAGATTTTAAGCCTTGTAGTAATCATACTATTGTCAAATTAGTTTTCATCTGTATTAAATACATTAGAATCAAGTGAAACGTTTTCAGCATAATTAGCTTTCGGTATAAAAGCCCTGAAGAGCTCATCGCTTTAAGTCCATGTCGACTGATGTAAATTGAACCTGTCGCAAATTCAATCGTCTTCTTCTTCGTCCTTAATTGTAACGTTGGACGGAATGTTCCAACACAATTAAGTCTTACGTGTTAACATGGTTATGCGCCATATGTCCCGATGACTCCAATTTCAGCCTGCTTTTCTATCTGGGTTTGCTTCCAATACCTTTTGTCCATCCAAGAACAAACTACAAGGCACCAGTAACTGTTGAATTTTAGAGTTGCTGTCCTCAGCCGTCGAGTCTACATCTGGCCGAGGGTTTGAACAAGGAACGATGAGCTTTACCGGCTCAATCACACAGACACATATTCAATGAAAGTGTTTCTTTATAGATCTATAACGTTAAACACGTTGACAAATGTTGGTCAAATATTTTTGTATTTGTACTTCTGTGATGCAGAAACATTTTTTTCAATTGTTATACATGTATAGCAACATTTTTTTCAATTGTTATACATGTATAGCAACATTTTTTTCAATTGTTATACATGTATAGCAACATTTTTTTCAATTGTTATACATGTATAGCAACATTTTTTTCAATTGTTATACATGTATAGCAACATTTTTTTCAATTGTTATACATGTATAGCAACATTTTTTTCAATTGTTATACATGTATAGCAACATTTTTTTCAATTGTTATACATGTATAGCAACATTTTTTTTCAATTGTTATACATGTATAGCAACATTTTTTTCAATTGTTATACATGTATAGCAATATTTTTTCAATTGTTATACATCTATAGCAATATTTTTTCAATTGTTATAGATGTATAGCAATATTTTTTTCAATTGTTATAGATGTATAGCAATATTTTTTCAATTGTTATAGATGTATAGCAATATTTGTTCAATTGTTATAGATGTATAGCAATATTTTTTCAATTGTTATAGATGTATAGCAATATTTTTTCAATATACATATACATGTATGTGCATTTGTTTAAGCACATCAGGACACACATCTTAAGAAATGATATAATACTGTTAAGACGACAGCGTGTTTTGAAATCCACTTGAAAAGTTCAATAGATAGGACGTACACAGTACATTTGATATTCACCGCTTTTTTTTGTGATACGTTCTCCTATTAGGTCAGTGTGTCAAGGTTCAAGGGATTTTTTTAATGTTGATAGGTTAACACTTTTCCTGGAGTAGTTTATGTTTAGCTAAAAAACATACGTTATGCCAGGGGTCGGCAACCTGCGGCTCGCGAGCCGCACGAGGCTCTTTTGCCGTCAAGATGCGGCTCTCCAGCTCCTTGCACAAATATTAATAGCTATATTATTTCATTTTCAAACTTCATATCAAATATCATACTGTAAAGAAAAACAACTTTAAACAGAATTAAAACCCTTATCAGAAATCAGTTATAATATGTGCGGTAGAAAGTATACGGACAGCTGACAGCAGATTGGGCACCAGGCCCAGCCCCACAGTCCCGTGGCAACAATCCCATGCTTGCCACTGCCCAAGTGCCGACTTTTTCGAATGTTTTTAAATGGGGAATGTTATTTTTATTCAGAATGCATTTCCCTATATATCAGTAATAATTAATTTGACATGAGTGACGTAGATTTTTTTTAGCTATAAGCTTACTACTGTTGGGCAGGGTACTGGACGGTGGGGTACTAGTTTACCCTGCGTTCAGTGGGATGGAAGAAAAGCCTGGTGAGAACCAAAGGACAGAAGCGAAAGATATACGGTTATCAAACCAATATTCAAGCCAGTTAGTCGAAGTTAGGCATGTTAAGGCCTGCCTGGCTAATGGCAGACACTTCCTGAGCCGGTGATATCAGTAAAGAAAGAAAAAAAAAGTTAGCCTCTAAAGTGGATTGGGATAGTCCTATAATTATATTTGATTACTAAGTTTATTATTCTGGCGAAACATGTGTATGATTATATATGAATGAATATTATTTCATATTTAAAGCTATTTATTTTAAATAACAAATCACATTTATTTACCTAGTCCTAATCAAAATAATAAAATATTGAAATAAAAAGGTAGCGGCTCTTTAAAAACTTGGAAGTTTTGAAAATTCTAGCTTTTGGCTCTTCTGTCTCAAAAGGTTGCCTACCCCTGCGTTATGCTCATCATATCATAGATGTTGGTCTATATGCGCCTTTTCTGGTATGTCAAACTAGATGGATGAACACAAACTTTAATTAAAGACTGGGAAGCTATTTCCTCTTTGTGTTGAAGGCAGTGCTTATTTCAGACTTTTTCTCCGGTGGGGGGGCACTTGAAGTTTTCTAGAGGGGGCACTTGAAGTTTTCGAGGAGGGGCGGACTAAAATTTTCTGGGGCAGACACTGATAAAAGTACATATTTTCTATTAAAGTTATATTTCATTCCCGAAGCGACGCCTGAAAGAAACTCTAGTTGATGGTTGTTTATTTTGAAAAAAAAAATGAAACTTCGTCTTTTTGCAAAGCTGTGTCTTTTATTAGTAAAATGTATCAATGTCAAGCTAATGTATCTTGTGCATATTGTTGGTTATTGAGAGATGTTTCGGAACACGTTTTAAATAAACTGTTTGAGTACTTTGAACTTATTAACGACTTAGAACGTAATAAAGTGATCAACATAGGTTTGAAGGATAGTAGCACACATCTCATGTATTCTACCCTTGAACATTTAATGTTGGGTGACACAAAAACAAATAAAAAACAAACATTTAATTCAGCTTCTGTATAAATTAAGTAGCACAAATAAATTAACGTTGTTTTAAAAATTGGTTTAATAATAAATAATCTATATACAAAATATCATCATTCACTATTACAAAGTTTATTATAGACCCGCTTTGAATGGAAAGTAAAATGCTCCTGAACATAATAATAATAGCTTGTCCCCTTACGTAGATTCTGCGCTGGTGTCTTAGCCTTTCTTCTTTTCTGAATGGCAAGCAAAATGTTACTCAATATAAAATATATAACCCGTCTCCTTGTGTAGATTCTAGTTTGGTGTCTTAGCTTTTCTTCTGTTCTGAATGGCAAGCAAAATGTTACTCAATATAAAATATATAACCCGTTTCCCTGTGTAGATTCTAGTTTGGTGTCTTAGCTTTTCTTCTGTTCTTTATGTCAAGTAAAATGTTACTCACTATAAAATATATAACCCGTTTCCTTGTGTAGATTCTAGTTTGATGTCCTAGCCTCTCTTCTTTTCTTTATGTCAAGTAAAATGTTACTCAATATAAAATATATAACCCGTTTCCCTGTGTAGATTCTAGTTTGGTGTCTTAGCTTTTCTTCTGTTCTGAATGGCAAGTAAAATGTTACTCAATATAAAATATATAACCCGTTTCCTTGTGTAGATTCTAGTTTGGTGTCTTAGCTTTTCTTCTTTTCTGAATGGCAAGTAAAATGTTACTGAACATCAGAAGAACTCCAGAACCCAACATACAGGCTCCTCCAAGATAGAAGGCACTGTCGAAGGTGCCGAGTGCATCTCTGAGAGCCCCTGAAAATTAGACATAACGCTAACATTACAGTCATTGCTGTAGATACAATGTGTGAGAGACATTACAGTCATTGCTATATATACTATATGTGAGAGACATCACAGTGTCTGCTATGATATAACATGTGACAGACATTACAGACATTGGTACTTATACACATTTATTATTTCTGATCTAATATGTGACATTATATTCATTGCGACTGATAAAAGCACTGCATCGAATTAATTGTCCCTGATAGTACCTAAACCATTGCGTCCAATGATACTAATAAAAACTATGGCATTAAATTTATCGTCACTGATACAAACTTCGGATTAATAAATTCGTGTTGTTGTGTGACTATTCCACCAGTGACCTAACGCATTTGCGAATTGAAGACCTACTAGTGACCTAATTCATCTGCTAATTGAAATCCTAAGAGTGACCTAACTCACTCAAATTAAAGTATTTCCAGTAACCCAACACACCTGCAAATTGAAGACCTACCAGTGACCTAACTCACTCAAATTAAAGTATTTCCAGTAACCCAACACCTGCAAATTGAAGACCTACCAGTGACTTTACTTACCTGCAAATTGAAGACCTATCATTATTATAACTCACCTGCAAACGGAGGTCCAATCAGCGTCCCCACCCCCTGAAAGACCTTGTTTATCCCCAGGGAGCTGGCCATGACCTCCCTGCCCAGTATGTCCACCAAGACGACCATCTTCTGAGAGATGAAAGCACCGGTCAGCGTACCGTAGACGGAGCTGACCACGACGAAGGAGGCGAACGAGTTGAGAGAAGGCACCAGGAAGGATGCGCCGGCAATGAGGAAGAGAAGGAGATTGAAGATGTACGGCCGGAATGGCCGGCATACCCGTATATCCAATATAAAACCTGGAAAATAAGACCGGCATTCATTAATTATGATTGACACTCTTGTTTTTGTGCACTTTAAAGCGAGGCGAGAGGGGTGTGAAAATGGAAAATTATGTTCTCAGAAATCTCAAGACAAGTTTTGTAGTAGTAGGGACTTTACAGCAACTCTTAATTTATTGTTTTATTTGCAAGGAAATTGAGTTTTTTATTTTATTATTAGGGAAGAAATTATTAGGGACTAGAAATCGAATCTCTGGAATGAACTGTATTTGGATTGATGATTTTTATATATGCCATTTTGTGTAAGTATAGCATAGATCAAAAATTGAATTGAAACCTTTTAAAATGGTCTAGTCGGAAGTCCCTGAGTCCACCACCCAGCTCTGATGGGTACCTGACTCATGTTAGAGAAACTAAAGCGGCTGGGCATAGTGCTGACTACACTATTTCCTTGCATACGAGGTCATTGAAACAATTAACTCTACTTCATCTGCTCCATGTGTCTTAGGCACGAAGGAAAAAAGATGATGATTTTAATTCATTTCTCAAAATGTTGTTACTTTTTTCCTTTAATATTGCTACAACAACGAATACCTACTTCCGAATGGTAACGTTTTTAACGAATTTACTCTAACTATGAACACAACTCACCTAAAGCCATTCGTCCAAAAGTATCCAAAGCCCCAGTGATAGTCAACACTAGGGCTGCCTGTTGCTTGCTCAGGCCTTTAGACAGCGCCATGGCTGGCAAGAAGGTGAAAGCTGTCTTGAAAGCAATCAGGAAGAACGTGTTGCTAATACAGAAGATGAGGAACGGGATGTTCTTCAGCAATCTCCAGTGGAAGGTTTCATGCTTGGTGGCCACGCCCTGACGCTTGTGCTCCACGGGGAAGCAGATGGCCAGAGACTCTTTCAGACAGTTCTCTTTCTTGGGTTTATAGTGGATGTCTGGCATCGACACCGCCATGTTTAGAGACTCGCAGCTGACGACAAACGGTTCGACGCCTTCCTGCAAGGACACGATGTCCGGCCCGTCGTCTTGTTTGGGGTTCAAGTACAGCTCATCAAGTTGATCCCAGTTGACCCCATCCTCGACGGGGTTTTGTGACTCGGTGATGTTCGTGAGAGGGACCCCTTCACTCCTCGCCAGTCTTCTTTTCTTTAATCTTAAGAAAATAAAAAATATAAGTAGTCTGTTGTTTTAAAACGACTTTTCATCAAATGTGATTCGTTATGTGTTGTAGCGCGTATTAGTTTAGTCATAATTCATTTGTGATTTTATGTTAAGAAACAAAAATTGCTTGGAGAATCTGAATATTACAATGAATTCAAGACAGACGTGTCCTTAAGAAATAGTGAAACTTCTAATACTTCAAAAGCTTGTATTACATTTCAGCATATATTTTCACAATTTTATACAAACTATAACTAAAATTAATTTTGGCTCTCTACCTATATAGACCTGCAGTTTTGAGCATGTAGACATTTTGGAGCCCGTAGACCTACAATTGTAGCCCGTAGACCTACATTAGGAGCCCGTAGACCTACATTTGGAGCCCGTAGACCTACATTTGGAGCTCATAGACCTACATTTGGAGCCCGTACACCTACATTTGGAGCCCATAGACCTACATTTGGAGCTCATAGACCTACATTTGGAGCCCGTAGACCTACATTTGGAGCTCATAGACCTACATTTGGAGCCCGTACACCTACATTTGGAGCCCATAGACCTACATTTGGAGCTCATAGAACTGCATTTGTAGCCCGTAGACCTACATTGGGAGCCCGTAGAACTACATTTGTAGCCCGTAGACCTACATTTGTTGCCCGTAGACCTACATTAGGAGCCCGTAGACCTACATTAGGAGCGCGTATAACCTACGTTAGGAGCCCGTAGACCTACATTTGGAGCCGGTAAACCTATATTAGGTGCCCGTAGACATACATTTGTAGTCCGTAGACCTACATTTGTAGCCCGTAGACCTACGTTAGCAGCCCATAGACCTACATTAGGAGCCCGTAGACCTACATTGGGAGCCCGTAGACATTGGGAGCCCGTATAACCTACCTATCTGCTCTCAGGAATCTGTAGTGCATGCTGAGTGGCCTAAAGAGCATGGCCACAACCCATCCGTTTAATGAGATGGCCCCGATAATCATAAACGTTCCCTAGGGAGGAGAAAGTAAGGCAGTTATAATATATACATCAACTTGTAGCATTAAGAGTGGGGGTGGAGGGGTTGGTCAATGTAGTACATAGTTACATGTATCGAGTTCAAATCCTTGTAATGTGGTTTTCTCTACACCCCCCCCCCCCCCCGCCAAGTTTAATCATTATAACATGAGCATCTGTAGGATATTTTTATATTGTAGGTAGCTCTGACTTGAACGAATCCATCAAATATCCAGTTTTGTTTTTAAAAAAAATATTATCTTGAAAAGTAAGAGTTAATTACAAAAAAGTATTAAGTTACCTCAGTAAAGTTTCCTCTTTGAACCTAACGGTTTATAAGGCGGACCTACGACAAATTCCCGAATGTCTTTTGTCCGAATGCGACAAACGCCCGCGTGTTTTGGGCAAGTGAAGTTCATTTCACCCGTTTCTATAACCCAGTATATGATGGGATAGTGCGGTCAGCACTAAGCCCAGCCGCCTACTATGTCTTACACGAGTTTAGGTATTCATCAGAGCTGGGTGGTTTCAGGGACATTCTACTGACTTGAACCCTGATTCGAACTCGAACCTTTCGTGTTAGCAGCCTGATGCTCTGCCCTATAGGGCTGGAAAGTAGATCAATAAACAGTTCTATGGCTCATTGAGGTTTTATTGAGCCGTAGAACTGGTTGGTGACCTACTTACCAGCCCTATAAGTCAAGCTGTCCCATAAGCTACTTAATTAAGCAACACTAAAAACTTTCTTACCAAAGATCCAAATTCTTCGAAGAGTATCTGAACCAGGGGCACTATGGCGAAGGCCCCGAACCCCACCCCAGCAGACGATAGACCCTGGGCCAGACTTCTGTGTTTGTCAAAGTACAAATTGAGGAGTAGGACAGAGGACATGAGGCCTCTGCCGATACCTGGGGGCAAAGGTCAAGGGTTAAATGTGGACAGGGCAGAGGACACAAGAACAAGAGAGAGAGAGAGAGAGTGTGTGTGTGTGTGGGAGAGAGTAAATGCACTTAAATATCACCAGTATCTGCAGAATTAGTTTTTTGCAATATTGAGCATTCTTTTATTTACGACTTAAGAATTATATATATATATATATATATATATATATATATATATATATATATATATATATATATATATATATATATATATATATATATATATATATATATATATATATATATATATATGATAGGTAGCACATTATACTTAAAACAATATGTTTGTGTACCAATTAAAAAATACAGTCATATTCTTGCAGTAATAAAAATATATATGTGTACTATTGAAACGTTAGTTACCAGTAGTAAAAAAGAAATAAATAGCCGAATGTACTGATTACAGAAATCACCTGACCAAAAAGAAACATAAAAACGCAACTAAAAAAGTAATATGCGTGTATCATCAGCGCCCCACTCACCCCCAACAATGGTCTGCGAGAAGAAGAGAAAGTAAACATTTGGTGCCAGCCCGTTCAATATGAACCCCAGTGATGTCAGGAAGGTCGCAAATATCAGAGTGGTTCTCACACTGTAGCGGTTTACCAGGGCCCCGCACAGTGGTCCTAGAGATTGAGAGTTTAATTGAGATTTTAATTATATTTTACATAATAATGGGCGTCAACTTAAAAATCAATAAATATACCAATACAATTGTATTAATAATGGCATGATCTTCTTTAACTTGCTTTATGGATATAGAGAATTATGTTATTAAAGATATTTTAGCATTTGAATCATTATTCACTGGAACGTGGTAAATTTAGATTTATGTTGACTTGAATTAAACTTTGCTCAATTAGACATGTAAAATGATGTATATATTAAGCAGACATTAAATATAAAACCTGTTTAGTGTGTTGTGCTTTGACTAATGAATAAAGTATTCGTCTTTTGTACAGCATTAACATTTAACGAGCTAAACATGCATAAAGATGGTTAATGTAACGTGTCATTTGCAAGTTAAATTAGAATAGGTTAAAATAGTCTCGAACTTAGGAAGAGAGGCTTGTGTGAGTTGAGTTAACCCTGGAGTGTTTATGTATTGTTACCCCAAGGTTGAGGGCGGGTTTAAAAGCGGACTGAACATTTGTAAGGGGGCTTTTAGGTAGGAGAACTGAATAAAATAATTGAACTGTGTCGTCTTTGTTGAGTTGAATGCAACTTATAGAAGTAGGTCGCAACACGTAACTTTTAATGAAATTAATACTGGGTCATTAGCTAGTTTAAGATTAACCAAAATAAAGATTCTTGAAACAATAAACATTTAAAATGGTGCACTGACCCATAAAGAGATTGATGGTGGACATCAAAGAACTCGGCCATGACGTCAGTTGTGCCCCAGAGTTGAACCTCTCCTGATACTGGAGGAAGAAAAGACCCTCACTTCTGGCAAAACCACCTGTGGTAAACGTCATCAAAATATGTGCACACATATCATCCCAAAGTTAAAGCTTTTTAAATGTATGTATAGAACTAAACCAATTTGCGAACGTCACCGAAATATGTGAATACAACTCAACCCAAAGGGCTACGTCATCAAAATATGTGTATACAAACGAATCCAAAGATTTCTAAAAAACAGTTGTCTATATACTCGATCGATTTGACAGGGAGAGCTAACCTCAATTGTACTATTGAATGGGATTTTCTCCAACTACGTATTACGTGTCTATATTGTATGCACTATATACGGTCCGATGACTCCAACTTCAGTGTGTTTTTCTTTCTGGATATGCTTCCATAGCTATTGTCCATCCGACAACAATATGCAAGGCAAGAGTTTGGAATTTCCTTTCCCGGTTTCTCTCTCTAGCTAGCGTGCCTCGTCTGCTTTGAACTTTTAGAGTTAAGAAGTCATACGCTCTCCATGCTCAATTGCTAGGATATTAAAGTATACTGTCAAACCAAACAGTTATTAAAGTACTCTCAGACCATACGGTCATTAGAAATCTAAAATATCTTATCAAATATCTTGGTCATCAAAAGTAATATTATTTAGATTTAATCTTTAATACTTGCTTGTGATTATCACCTCAAAATAAATAAATAAATAATTTTCTAGAAGAGATACCTGGCACAATATGATGAATGAAACAAGCGGCCACATCACATAGAAGACTTTTCCAAGCACCGTAAGGTGAAAAAAAAGCAGCTACAATCACATACACTACTCACCTAGCACCATATGATGAAAGAAACAAGCTGCAACAATCACCCAACCGTATCCTCCATCCAGCGCCTTCAGTAAAACGCCCTTATCTCCGGTTGTTTTATTGTCAGGTTTGACGTCACTGTCCACCGGATGTCCGCCATTTCCTTCCTGATTCTTGCCGTCTACGTCATCGTTATTCGTCTGCGTTACGTCACCCGCATCACCGTTTTTGTGAAGCTGAAGTTAAAATTGAAATACAAATGTTCAGGATAATTTGAGTGTTCTGGTGTGTGTGGATGTGCCCGAGGGTGGACTGGTCTGACGGTTTGAACATGTCTTGAAACAGTGTAGATTGAGATTAGAAACAATGTTTAATAAACAGTTTTGTTGCTATAACCTTTATAATATTTAGTGAACATCCTCAAAAGATGTTCTATTTAATAAACGTTTTTACATTTTCAAAACAAAAACGGGCTATAAAAAGTATGGTTTAATTTTAGCACGTGATACCCTTGTCCTTACAAACCCAACGTATGCTTTCCAAATGCGTATAATGTATGAACATAATATACAAGGCAAAAATTTTTTGCGGGTTTCGCCGAAAGTCCAGTGCGCCCTACCACCGAATTTAGAACCTGTCTAACGGGGATAACTCACATAACTTCCATCTTCATGCAGTCTTTCATCAGTTGTCTTCCCTTTGTTGTCACATCTGATTTCCTCAATGGTTCCTAGTTTTGGTGTCTGGTCAGGCTCCATGTATTTCAACACACATTAATACTGGTGGGAGTTAGACGTACACTGGTCACGTGATCTTCAGATAAATAAATTGATAAATCGATTTCATATTGGACCAAGAATTTTAGACATTGTTTTTAAATAATACAAACACGCACACACACATTACAGGTATATATATATATATATATATATATATATATATATATATATATATATATATATATATATATATATATATATATATATAATTTTTATTTATGTATTTGATTATTTATTTATAAATATATTTTGTAAATTACATATTAATAATGTCAACCATTTAGAGGAGAATCAACTTTATTATATGCCGGTATATAAAAAAATATTGACAATCATCTTTAACAATGAATACAATATCGTCTTTAAAGAAACTAGAAATACTAAAGGATTATTCGTTTATCTGCTTGTGTTTTTACAAATTAGGTCTGGTGTGGCACATCGTATATCACTATCTGTTGTCTAGCACGGCAGATATCACACACTATCTGATGTGTAGCGCATTACACGCTATCTGATGTCCGAGTTTTTGGACGGGCTAGTCAGTGTGTCCATTATCATCAACATACACAGCTAAGTAAACTGTAAACTACTGCCTCATTCAACACTTCTTTATTCATAACTACCTACACGGTTTGACCGATTCACCCAACCTTGTAAAACCTAACCAATAGCAAACTGAATTGAATTAGAAAAATAAACAACATATTTTTAAAAAAAGGCCTATTTGTGAAACAAAATTATTTTAGCTAGAAGTCAAATTAAAATTACTGCGAAATTTTTTTAAACAGTTTCAACTAATTTTAATTTTGCAATGTTATCGCTTTAACACTTAGGTGAGTCATTATGTAGAGACATATGATAACAAATGTCATCAGTTCTAACGACAAACATATACATATATATATATATATATATATATATACATATATATATATACATTATTTCTCCATTTTATGAATGCATATAGTAAATCCATATTTAATATCTATGATTTAGTAAAAATTTATTTACCGGTAGCTGAAGTATCCGTGTATTTGATTTTTTTAAAAGATGTAACTATCTGTTAGGTTTGATATTTTATCCGTTATGCTTTGGTTTCCATGTGTTTAGTAAAACGGATATGTTGTAGAATAAAGGAACGGAACGTGTTCATGTCCTTTATTATAAAGTTTTAGACAAAGTGTGAATCGGCACTTCATGAATAGGAATGTTCATGTGACCTGACGTAGAAGTACCTAGATGTATAGTTAGATAGTGGACGTCTCAGTCTTGGGTTAAAGAAGTCTTATGACTGTTACGTCACTTTGTAGGGGTGCTGGTGTGTTGAGGGGTGTGAGGGGTGGGGGTCGAGGCATTTAAGTACGGGATAGGGTGGGAGAATGTATTTATTTTGGCTAGTTGCTGTGTAAACACACATTGGATGTAATTATCTAAAATAGTTGTAGGTTGGAGTACCACTTCGACATATTTGCTAAAGATAACGAGTTATATGTTGATGTAAAATAGGCCACTTGTATGGCAAATTCACACTGTTATGGACTTCTAGTTCTATGTATTCAGATACTATAAAACAAACATTCGCAATACCACAATGCGATGTAAGAAAGTAAATTTATATTTAATCTAGATCGTTAAATATAATTTCAAGTTCACACAATAGTAGGGAACGCGTGGCCTAGCGGTAGAGCAATGGACTACTATCATGAAGGTCTCGAGTTCAAATCCGGGTTCATATCAGTAGAACGTCCCTGAGTCCATCCAGCTCACGTTAAGAAGGTAAAGGCGGCTAGGCATAGTGATGACCACATTAGTCTTTCATATGCCGAGGTCAAGAGACATGAACTCTACTTCATCTGCCTAATAGATCGATAGGTCTAAAGAGTAATCGTTGCAATTCAATAGTTGTCAGGTTTTCACTTGCAATGCCCGCTACCTTTATATTTAAAAGATAAATCTGATGGTGTTATATTGATATCAGCGATTAATTAATCTGATAAAATAACATGACACTGTGTCAGACACTGTCACGTATATCCTGTCACGACACTAACACTGCCAGACATGCTGTCACGAGTATATCTGATCACGTCACTTCCTCACGAACTTATCAACTTAAATTCTCAGTTGTCGAGTTGATAAATCGAATCATACGGTCTATAGGGCAAATAAAGTAGAGTTCACTTGTTTCTGTGACCTCGGCATATGAAGAGATAGGTACCCATCAGAGTTGGGTGGACTCAGGGACGGTCTACTGACTTGAACCCGGATTCGAACTCGAAACTTGCGGTAAGTAGTCCAGTTCTCTACCGCTAGACCACTCCATCCCCCCCAAAAAATCGAATCATCACCCCGTAGAATTAGTTGTATAACTCACCTTTATGGCGACTGTCACCTATATCATTACTCCAGTGTTGAATCAACTTGATTGCTTTAGCTAATTACCAATGATGTAATAATTAAAAGTATGACTGGATAAGGCTTAATTTCATAAAGCTAAAGATGAACACACGAACTAATTCAAGTCTATTATTAATCCAATTAGTTATCCTTGATTAAACTTGAAATAAATAACCGTACGCTTCTAAAACCAAATTGTTAAGTTGTACATATGATTTATTCATTGATAAAAATAACCACATAACTATCGATAACTAGGTCATGTATGTCGCTCAGGATGACACTGCGAGTTTGATATCCAGATAAAAGTGGGTCAGGTGAATGATTTTTGTTACACCTAGTAACCCGTTAAATAATTACTGCTGATCTCTGGCCGCGCGTTAATCTCTCTGCTCATTCATGCGGATAAGCTGGATTATGGGTACTTCAAATTGTGATGCACGTTGATGAAGATCGATACAATTTATTACTTTCTACACATCATCGTTTTTCCCCCGTTCCCACTTAGGGCAGATAAAGTAGAGTTCATCTGTTTCAATGACCCCCACATCCAAGGATATAATGTAATTGTCGTTATTATAGATGAGTGGGCCATACTCGGGCCCAGATCGCCAACTCAAATCTTTGTAATTAGACATTAGATTAGTCATCAATACCTAATTAAAAGAAGAATAAATTCAATAAGAATAGGGGAGATAACAAGATTAAATACTAGCAATTACTTAATCAGCTTGCAAACGACGGTGAACTGTATTTTCACGGTTGGTTGGCTTTTCACACGAGAGCCAACCACAGACTAAGAATGAGCAGATAACTATCTTTTAGAGAGAGAGAGAGAGAGCGAGTTACTGAAAGGTTTTGAAAGTAAAATATGTTTAAATTATGTGGCGTTGATTTAAATCAGAACGAATCTATATACATAATTCTCTTCTTGGAGACGTTAGAATACAAAGCTGTAAGCGTGCCTTGCTGTCCCCTCTCTTCCTCTCTAGGAAGTCTGGTGAGCTGTGGTTCACGCTAAATGTTTACAATCGTAGAGCCGTGTTTAGTGACGGCTATTAGGAACAAATAATTTAGTTTGAAACGATTTTAAACTTAGGGGAGGTAGCTAAGAGGAGGCTGCTTTCACGGGGGGTGGGGGGGGGGGGGGTGTTAGGGGTTGGGGGAAAGGAGCGGGGGTTATCGTCCTTAACGACTTACTGATAGTGTTTTAAAGCAAATATTTTCAGTGACAGCAGTGGTACTGTCGAATTCACAAATTATGAATTACTGAAAAGTAGAAAATAAAACAACTAAATAGCGGCGTAAAAGCTTGTTATCATTTTTTAAAAATGTATTTGTTTTATTTTAGAGTGGCCTAGCGGTAGAGAGCTGGACCGCTAACCCGTAAGTCTCGAGTTGGAATCCGGGTTCAAGTCAGTAGACCGTCCCTGAGTCCACACAGCTCTGATGGGTACCTAACTCACGTTAGTGTAAGTAAAAGCGGCTGGGCATAATGCTGACCACATTTTACCTTCATATGCCGAGGTCACAGAAACAGGTGAACTCTACTTCACTTACCCCATAGACCGTCAGGTTTGAAAGGGAGCTTTACTACACAATTACTTCTCGGAGATAACAAGCAAAACATCAACACATTCAAGACACAATTATAATTTTAACGCAGTCTGATTCGTGGATATGTTATTTTTAATTAAAAATCATTTAGTATACAATGTACTGTTCGTGCATTATTTTTGTTTTAAAAAAAAGTATTGTTTTAATACATTTGAAAAGTTGATTTGTTAATTCATCATGCAATCAGGAGCTAACTCTGAACACACTCACGCAAATAAAAAATAAATAAATATAAATAGTATCAGTATGGCGCTGATCAGTTATCTCACAATAATGGACACATGTTTTTTTACATCGTTTATCAACAAGAAAACATGACCTTTTGTTATTAAAAAAAATTAAAATAAACTAATTAAAAATAATTCTAAAAATGCATAATTAACGAACATTAATTATAATATATTTCAATACATCTTGGCAAAACGTGGTCAAGTAATCATTTATTATGCATCGATATTTAGAAGTATAAAATATTGTTATGTTAATTAAGGAACTAAAGAACTATTAGTTACGGTACTAAGTATATAATAAAGCATTTTTGTAAGTACACATTTTAATATAATATGATAAACAATTCACCATTTTAACTCGTTAAAAAATTTGTGAAACGGGTTAAATGTCCAAAAGTTAATTACTATAATAAACTGTTAATTTGGTTTAAATTATGAAAATAACATTAACATAATACATTTATACATGTTTTGCTATTATGATCAATTCCACACATTTTAAAATGTTTTCAAGTATAAAACATTATGCAAATACGAAATGAATATTCATACAATGTATCATGTATGTACATTTAATTTACATGTTTCATTAACAAAGATATTTAATCAATATTTTTTTTCATTTCTAATTCATTTACACAATAATACGTTTAGTATTAAATTTAACTCATACATGCATGTTCAAAGCATACACCTTGTTTCATATCAAATTTTTTTAACAAAGACATAGCGTTTTCGCACTGATACATTTTAAATTCATTTTACCTCAGTTAACATCATACATGCTAATGAGGCGTGGTTAATGTATTTGGTATCATAATGACCACTCAGAGGCTCTACCAAATTATACGAACTCTGCTTAATTCTATATACAGTTTAGATCTATAATATAATTAGCACAATAACAAGTTGTAAAGTTTCTTCATATAACTAGATTCTATATACAGCTAAAACATTTATATTTGCAAAAAGTGTATTATTATTATTAAAAAAAAATCAAATACCAATGTTTTGATTAAACTTTTGCTTTTTTGAATCTAATCATAAAAAAGTTTTAATTACACAAGGGAAAACAATCGTCTTTTTTTTAAAAAACCCATAGTATCGTATGTCTTGGAATAAAAAGAGAGCAACAGAAACTGATTTGAAGATTAATTATTATTCACTGAAACTTGACTACTTAAAAAAGTTCTCTAATTGTAATAAAGTGAATGCATTTGACTAAAGGATATACGATTCAGAAGCGAGTTACTTTCATTAAAGAGTTTACATACAAGATAAACACAAGTATTTGATACAACATATCTGGCTTATATACACTATGTGTTTTCAAATACGATGGTGGTAGATGTATATAACTGTAGTCAACATATTTCAATGTGTTCGTACATACAAGGTAACAACAGTTTCAACTACATCATAGACATCGTTATGTTAGTTAGCAAATCAGTTCAAGTTTACACAAATTAATATTTGTTAATTTCTACAGTTAAAAATTATTCAACTTAAGATCTAGATCTACTTGAAAGTTACAGTTTCGAGCATAATAATACATTTTACAAGATAGTAATATTTTTAGAATGTGTCCATTGTATTTCTATAAACGAAATGGAAAAGAGAGAGGGTTATAAAAATGAGTTAGTCAGCTAGTATAACGAGTTAAAATAGAATAGTTTGATAATGATCCATTCAAAGTGTTTAAACCAATACTATTCAATAAGGCTGATGTGCCTATTCAAGAACTATTACCTTAAACCTAATTACTTAACCTGTCCACTGTTTTGTTAGTATATTTAAAAAGTACTTTTGCGAATATTTAGAACAAAACATAATTTTGAAAAAAGGTTAGCTAGGCCTTCCTATATGTTAAAGTCATATTAAGCCGTGATACAAATGAAATGTATGTTCCAACTAGGTTATCTTTCTCGTTATCAGGTTTCTAAGGGTGATGTACTTGACATGTCAAGAACGTTTTAAGTTGACTAAGAGCTGATGCCTGCAACATTCCGATGTGATGACGAGATTGGTATTTTAGCAGATACTACAACTGTTTTGAATCAAGTAATAGTTTACATTTTTAAAGTCTAAATAGTATATGTAGTGCAAAAAGAAGCCCACTTTGGCCAATCAATTAGCTATATAGATTAAACGTATTTCTATCTATTTTGCAATCTTAGTTAACAAAGTAAATGTAATTAGTTTTTCTAGAAGAAAAAATCTTTCATAATGACTATTTTTTCAGATTTGCATCATATATGGATTATTGTTTATTTATTTTTATAACTAGCAGCAAACGTAATTAGACGAGCGGCATTCAGAATACAAGCGAATTATTTAATTAAAAAACTATTTTATGACTTGTTTCCCTTTCCCGCTATCACTCTTCCAGGCTAGTACTACATTCGATATTTCTTTGGTTGTCCCCCTTTGCCAGTTATGAATAGACACGCTAACCAATAATAACATTGTATAACATTTTTAGTCAAGTTTATTGATTATTGGTGTTAGCAGAGTATAAATTATATTTTTAACACGTTTTTATTAACTCAGCTTCGCGTGTGTTTGTTGTTAAAATTGACATCGAAAATTAACCCACTTCTGATTGCTCAATAGATCTGAAATTTGGCATGTAGGCTACTTTCGCCTAACAATTTCAGATGCAATCATAAAAACTAGCAATTAGAGACGGTAATTAGCTTAATTTAATTACGCCCCAAGGACCATAAAATTGAGGACATGATTTCTAAAGATACCGACAAGACTGGAGGCTTATAGACACAGTTACTTCGGCCCCAATCGATGTGAGCGCGCTGGCCGTGATCGTATAGTGGTTAGTACTTCGCGTTGTGGCCGCGACAACCCAGGTTCGAATCCTGGTCGCTCAAGATTTTTTTAGTCCGTGTATTTATAAACACTTAGTCAATTCATACTTAATCAAGTCATTAGATAAAGTAGAAAATAAACTATATAAAAAACTTTTTTAAAAACCACGTTTTTCATGTGTAGCAACGGACTAAAAAGGAGAAAATAAAATACTTAAAAAAAACTTTTTAAAAAACCACGTTTTTCTTGTGGACTAAAAAGTAGAAAATAACTATTTACATACATTTGATGACAAAAAACGTGGGTCGGGCAGATGGGTCGGGAAATTTGATGGTGAACGTACCCACGTTTTTTGTCATCAAATGTATGTAAATAGTTATTTTCTACTTTTTAGTCCACAAGAAAAACGTGGTTTTTTAAAAAGTTTTTTTTAAGTATTTTATTCTATACATAAATAATACACGAACGTGATAGTTAAAATTAATTACAGTCATTAGAATACATATTAATTAGAATATGTTTATTGAATATTTATTTTTGCAAAAGCTTTTTTAACTTTAAAAAAAGTCAGATTTTTTTCCTTATTCAAATTTTTTTCATAAAATGTGAAATATACCATAGATTGCAGAAAGGTATCACATTATCCTGATACTATTGCATTTAACAAAATAAGTTATATCAGGTTGAAGAATTCAGTTTCGTACATAAATTAAAAAAAAACAAGTATTGGAGCATATCCGCAGACATAAACTTGTCTGTGTACATATTGCAAGATTTCTATGTACATGTTTGTCTAAGTGAGAGAATACACAGACATAAGTCTGGATACATTCAGTACACAATCGCTAAGCAATAAATAATTGTTCTCATCGCTCTTGATATGTTTGGTTTAAAAAGCACTTTGTTCATCGTTAATTGTCTCGAAACACTTCGATCAGTGGCGTCGATAGGTCGGGTGTCACCCGGGGCGGTCCGCACCCCCCTCCTCCGCCTCGCGACGCTTCTGACTTCGATTTCGACTTAAGCATTCACCTCAGCTGAAGTTTATCGTAACCATTCTTACAGTATAACGTGTCTTTTTGGAGTACCACATAACACATTTGACATCAAGTATAATCAGAAGATACATCAAACTCAGACAATAAAAATAATGAAAAATAGAAGAAAATTTTTAAAAACTTGCAAATTATCAAAATGATATCTACCTTGTAGTTTTATTAAAAGTAATAAAAATAATTAACACAATTTACATTTCGACAATTACTCTTGTATATATTATTAAGTCCAACAACGTTGGCCTGTATTTAAGCGTGTTATTACATTAAATACTTTTTTATTTCAATAAGTTTCATCTTTGTCAAAGTTATAGTGATAATTTTAAAACTTTATATTGGAAAATATTTAATATTACAAAATATTAATCAAGTCTGTTAACTATTTATATTCCGTTTTACAATTAGGCTATTCGCAAAACGGAAGAAGAATTACAATTCAGATAATTTAAATCATAAAACATCGAAGATTAATCATTGGAAAATATTCCGTACTGTAAAATTAATATTATATTTTTGCATTTTAAAAATCTATAAAAGAGGTTTATGAAAACTAAAAATATTTACAATTACACATTTTCATTTGTGCAATAGGCTTGAAAAACTTTTTCCAAATGTTTGTGGCCAGAAAGCATTTCTAAAACCAAAATTGAATATTTAAAAAAAAAATTCCGAAATTTGTTTTTTTACGTTACAGCACATGCTAATGTTTTATGTTTTAGTTTCTACAACTAACAAACTCAAACATTAATTCATTGTAGGCCAACAACACATGCTATAGAATAGGCGTGCTTGTTAATAAAATAAAAACATAAAAAAAACTGTTTTGTAAAAAATCAAACTGTAAAAATGTAGTTTTATCACATTCTTCTGTGTAACTGTATTCAATGCATGTATTTCAACTTATAAATTGTGATATTGTATCTCTTGATGTGAGAGTTAACACTTGGTTTATATTTTATATCATAGTGGATTAGTAAACAATTTGTTATAAGTCACCGATGTCCTATATAGAATAACACAATCAACAGAAACAAATGTTGACTCCATAATGGGAAGATTGATGTGTAGTGGTCTGGGTTAGACTAAGGAAAGATTGTATGGGGGTCTGGGCTACAAGATGAGAAGATTGTAGGGGTCATGGTTAGAAGATGAGTAGATTGATGTGTAGGGGTCTGAGTTTGACTAAGGAAAGATTGTATGGGGGGGGGGGGTTGGGCTACAAGATGAGAAGATTGTAGGGGTCTGGGTTAGTTGATTGGAGGATTGTATGGGGGTCTGGTCTACAAGATGAGAAGATTGTAGGGGTCATGGTTAGAACATGAGTAGATTGATGTGTAGGGGTCCAGTGTTAAATTATGAGAAGGTTCAGGTATAGGGGTCCGGAGCTAGACGATTGTAACAGCATTGTGCTGGCCGGATTTGTTGATTGTTTTGTAAAGGGGGTCGTCCACTGTACCGCTGGGGGTCGAGGTGGGGACATTGTTAACTGGACCACTGACCGCTGCTGTTGTGTGGTTGCCGCGGCCGCTGATGCTGTGGTGACCGGTGCCAAACGTGCTGAGGTTGACGCCGTCAGGTTTGTGGTTGGCGTCGGACGGTGGGCGTGGTTTACTGTTGATGTAGGTGTTGGGGTCTACGCCTTGGCCGAGTGACCCACCTTGAGAGACGCCCACGTGGGTACGGTGCATGGGGGACGTGACCTGTGTGGGGACGGGGGTGTAGTTGCATACAATGGGATCCAGAGGCGGCGTCGCTCTCGTCTGAGACTGACCCCTCTTGCTGTGCACGCTGAGCTGCGGACTTTGGTTATGCACGTGAGTGTTACTAAGACAATTCTTCAACGGCGACGTCACCTGCTGATGAGCTGAAGCTCCAGAAATTAAACTCACACATTCATGCCCAGTACCAGATTCACCCTGAACACAAGGCGAGCTCCGGTTTGATTTCATCTTTCGATTAACTCGTAGATCATCGATATCCATATCAGGGGGAGGAATCGGTTTACTTATAAGTCTCATTTTTCTCATTCTCTCCCTTTGGTAGCACAGCCCAGCGAATATAATTATATTGATAAGCAAAAGAGAACCACCGATTGCTACCACAATGCTTAACGGAACACCAGTAGAGGTAGCCTTGTGTGTGGATTGCATCTGCTCGGGGGTAGCATGTGGGTCCGGGCTACCTTTCGTGCTGTTGGGTAGCTCGCTGTTCGGCTGGTAAGGCTGCCCGGTTGTGACTTCCGTGTTGTCGGAAGTTGTTTCAGCCACTCTATCGACGTAACCGGAAGCCGTTGTGCAGATGGTGGAGGGGGCGGTGGCTCGAGGGGGGTAGACATCTTTGTTGGGGATCAAACACTGAGGCTCGTCAAAGGTCGAGAGGTTCTCAAAATTATTCAGGAGGTGCGTCGACATATCCCCACCGTCGTAAAGATTCATTTTCGGAATCAGGTCAAGCCAGACGGCCATTTTGGATGCCCTGTAGCGGTTTCGAACCAGTGGCCTTCGACCTGTGGATTCAGAAGGATCTGTTTCTGACAATAATGACACTGAGTCTCAGGTAGTGAGTAAGGTGTTAGTAAAAAGGTGTCTGTCTAGGTTGAGTGGATTAAGTCATACATGTTTTACTTCTTTGAGTTAATTAATAATGCATTACTGCGATGTATCAACACTTTAATACAATTATTTACTACGTTAAATATGTATCTTAATGTAACATAGATATAGTTATAAAAATTTGAATAAGGACTTAAAAATAAAGATAAGTCATGAGATAAAAATAAGATATAAAAACCCGAAAGAGATAATTAAAATCACTAGAATTGCTAATCCATTAATGCGTTCGCCTTTCTCCTGTAATTAATATATACATTATATCAATCAAGACACCGACATCTGCAAGGTCTTATAAATACTTAACATTTAATTGTAATTAAGGATTAACTTTAAGTTGCAATCTAAAAGTTACCAGTACGAAGTTTACCAGATAATATTTTCTGATTTCTACAAATATAAAGAAGCTTTTCATAGTCATCGAAATTTCAGCTATATACAATTACCTAATAATGATAATGTAAGTCTTTGTCAAAGTTAATATATTAGTAACATCAAGTTCTTGTATTGAATTTATTCTTAATACGACGAATTATGAAAAAGGGTAATACAGTTTTACAATATTGCCGTATATTGTAGTTTGTATACAAAATATGAAAACTAATGTTTATGCGATTTCCATGCTATTAATGGTTAATATGTGGGCAACAAGCAAACATTGAAAATATGATGCAAATCCTGATAATAATAACCTTCTAAGCATTATATAAAAATACATTTAAAAAACCTACAAATTATTAGTAAATTGGCTGTTTCAAAATAAACCACACGATTCAACAGCTAAGAATATTTACAGAAATATATACATTCATAGTAAATATAATGTACATTAGACACGAATTGTATCGTTATTTAGGCTGATAAGGTTAATTATCTAGCATTATATTTTTATCCAATGTATTTCAAGTAAATAAAATAAATTTTAACGCGTTATATTATTTATTGTTGAGATTTTGTCTCATATAAATAGCAAGAAAGGATGGCATCGTGTTGTTAAGATTAAAGCGGGTAAAGGTCAAGGTTAGACGATTGTTACTGCGTTGGTTTGGCCGGATTTGTTGATTGTTTTGTAAAGGGGGTCGTCGACTGCACCGCTGGGGGTCGAGGTGGGGA